GAAATTACTTGGCAGCATTCATTTCTTTTTTATAAATTTATTTATTTTTAGTGGACACATAACTGTATATATTTATGGGGTATACTTTGATGCTTTGATACATATCTATGTGGTATAATGATCCCATCAGGCTATTAGCATATCTACTGGCAGTGTTTAGGAAGACTGACTCTATGTATAGCCTATGACCAGTAAGTATAAAATAAACACAAATGTAAATATAAATGTGTGTACATATACACACACATACCTAAAGTAACATATGCATCTGTGCATGAGATAATGACTAAGAATATAATAGCAGCATTATTTGTTATGCCTCAAACTGAGTAACCTATATGTCCATGAACAGTTGATTAGATAAATATATTATTTTTTTGAGTGGAATACTATACGGCAAGAAAATAAAACATGGTAACTACATGCAACAACATGGATGAACCTCCTTGCAAAATGCTGAGTGAAAGAATCCAGAGACCAGGAGTTCCTTTCGCATGATTCCGAGGTAATGTTTTCAAAAAGAGAGAAAAGTTGTCTCTGGTGCCAGAACTGTGAATAACGACTGCTTTTCAGAAGGGAGGTGGGGTGGACATGGTAGCTTCTGGGTCCCTGGTGAGAGTCGTGTCCCACATCTCAATCTGGTGCTGTGTTCGCTTGGTAAACATGCATTCTGAATGTGTACTGCATTAGCAAATGTTTATTTTAGCATATGTAACACTGCCACAGAGCCTTAGTAAGCAAAGAATTGTAAACATGCTCTGAATTTTCTGTCTCTTGGGAGCAATTCCAAAGCTGCATGGCCACTGCACCAGGCTCACGCACCTGTGCTGCTCCCTCTGGCTTCTCTCCTCAACGCCCCTTCCTCAGACGGTAAATGTCCCCCACCAGTGCCATTTTGCTTCCCACTGATTATCTCATTGGCTGCGTTTATCTCTCCAAATCACCTTTTTCCCTCTCTTATTTTCTTTTTCTCCTTCCCTCTCTCTCCCACCATATGTGTTTCTGAACAAATGATAAAAACCATACGTATATACATAAAAATCATGATAAAATTCAAAAGCCATTCATGACTACATGAATGGCTTTTGTGAGTGGGGTTGGCACTCACAGCCATCGCTCAGAGATGAGCACGCTTTTGGTCCAGTTAGCAAGCCATCCAAATACATGTTTGCTGGGTTTCTCAGTGATATTCTTCATTACTCACTGTTCATTTTAAATTTTCACTTCCATGTATGGATCTGCCAACGGGCAATGGAGGTAGCGGAAGGTGTGGCTTCCGGAAAGGGGGAGGACAGGAGTCTGCTCATTAGCAATGGTGGGAAAGGATTTTGGAGGCCACGTCCATCTGACAGAGACAGAGGTGCAGGCTGCAGTGGTGAGAGCCTGGGTTGAAATCAGGGCTCTGCATGCACCAGCTCAGCAACCTGCAATGTCCAGTGACCTTCCTGGGGCTGCACTCTCCACCTGGAGAAACTGGGTCAGTGTCAGTACTTACCTGATGATGTTAACATCTGTAAAGTACTTGGCATGGTACATATTAGCAGTTACAGCTGTCCCTCGGTGTCTACAGGGGATTGGGTCCAATCCCCCTCCCCCAACCTTGCCCCCCTTACCCCATGCCAAAATCCATGAATGTGCAACTCCCACATTTGGCCCTTCAGGACCCACGGATACATGAAGCTGGCCCTCCGTATCTGCAGGCTTCTCATCCTGAGAATAGCCTATATTTCTGATCTGTGGTTGAATCCGTCGATACAGAGGGCTGACCGTATTGAAAAACATTCTCAGAGAAGTGGACCATGCAGTTCAAACCTGTGTTGTTTGAGAAGCAACTGTGCTGTGGTCCCTGCTGGACTGACATGGACTGGAGCTGTCTCTGTCAGTCCCTGGGTCATAGGGGCAGCTGTCACCATAGGATGACTCCCCCACAAAGCTGGTCATGTATTTGTTGTGAGAGTCAACGCTGCACTTTGGGACGTGTTCTAAGAAATAAGTAGCTCCATTTCCCGTGTATAAAATAAGAACATGGCTACTGAAGGCTTTCTTGGCTTATGGGGCTATTTTCGAGAAGAAATGTTCAATGCCTGCAAAGCATTCTGCTTCCTGGGTATAATTACTGAGACAATGGAGCACATTATTTTTATAATTCGGACTTTAGAATCGACAGACTCTCACAGCTCTCAAGAAGTGGCACTGGACCCTGCTTCTGACAGAAGGACGTGGGATGAGCCCCAAGTCGAGAGATACACACCAGCTCTGGATGCTTTTTCTGGCAAACATCACACACGTGGCCACCAGCAGAATGACATCCAACATAGACATCCACTTTTTTTCAGCTCAGAAGTTCCACAGGCAGGTGACTAACGATGCCCACAGATGGAGGAGTGTGTTCTGTGCCCTAAAGGATCAGTGTTCATAGGCGGGATAATTCCCAATGCTCTTGGGTTGCCTAATTAAATATGTCACACTGTACATATGTGAAGGAAATGGATGTGTGTAAAAAATAAGGATTGTTCAATATAGGAAAATAAGATAAAATTTTCAGATTTAATTACCCTGGGTCAGCTTACCTCCTTAAAGTTTTCCTCTCTTTCTTTTTAGCAACTTGAAAATTTAAACATATATAGTAAAATATTATACTCTGTAAAATATAGAGTATAATAGAACAAATATTAATATTATACCAGCTTTTAAAAATAACTAGAATATGATAGGCCTTTCTCACACTTTTCAAAGTGCAGCCCTGTATTAAAGGTACACTTATTCTTTCTGAGAATTACCAACCATAGTTGAGATGCCTGAACAATAAAAAGCATAACTCAATTACATTTGCTGGGTTTCTTAGCTGGATTCTCAACCACTCCTAACTTGTTTATTTTACTTCCAAGTATGGATCTCCTAATGGACTGTTGTTAGGGTCTAGAAACATTCCATTTATTATATCATTGATTTTATCTGACATACTGGCAAACATTTGGATTACATTTTAGCAAAGAGAAATAAAATATGTAGTGATTGATATATAGAGTAAGCTGAATAGCCTTCATTTTATTTAGTGCTAATGATACATAAGGCAGATTTAATCCTAATTCACCAATGAGCTCT